TGCTGGGTTTGGCGGCTCCCGCCTGCCTGTCTGCAGCAGCCCGGCACGGCGGCCTCGCTTCCCCTGCTCGCCAATGGGAGAGCAAATTGCTTTCCTTTCCTCTTCCACTTGAGACACGATAGCGAGGTCTCCCTGCGCTTGCTTCTCCACCGCCTTCCCTCATCGCTTCTGCATTAGGCTCCTGCACGGAGGCTGCAGAAACTGCACATGTAAGGCAGAGAAATTCCCCCATACCTGGGAATGATGGTGGCAGAAATGACAGGCGGCAGATTAAATTAGCTCCTAGTGCTTTCAAGGTATTTTTTCCCTAGTGACAGCGCTGGAGGAACGTGCTCAGTGACAGCTCCGTGCCCCTCGGCACAGCAGGAGCCACAAGCCTTTCTATTTTTGCAGGGTTTTGGTTACCACTGCTTGAACCTCTCGGATGCAGAAGTTTAGCTGAGTCGGGCAGGGAAGAGACAGCTCTAGTAAAACTGGAGTGACTCCGGTCATCTCACCAGCCACTGTCACGATGGCTGAGGTTTTTCACGTGCCCTGGACCTGCAGTATGGGATAGCAGCGTGGGATAAGGGAACGGGATAACTCCTGGATAAAAGGGGTGCTGACTTTTCTAATAGCATGGGAATGCAGCTGCCTCAACAGCGATCAAACGCTAGCCGACGTGCGCGAGCGATGCAGCAGTGTCCGTGCGTCCATGTGTCCGTATGTGCATCCAGGCTGCCTCCACCCCGAATAGGAATTTGCTGCCTGAGCTGAAAGCCACGGATTAGGGAACAGCTAGGGGTGTAGGACTGGGGCAGAGCTGCTCTTCCCCTAGAGAAGATGTCATGGCAGCGTGGTCGTAGACTCCTGGAGGATGTGATTCACAAATAAGCTGATGCGTGTTCTTTTCCTTTGATTCATAGTGGAAGAAAACAGGAGAAAAAACAGAGTCAAGGCTCCTTAGTATTTCCAATGCTAATTTGCTCAGCTAAGTGTGGGACAAGTCTGTCAGGGGAAGTTTGTCGGTAAGACAGGCACAGAGCAGACACCTAGTGCAGCTAGGGCATTTTGAGAGCGCTTGATAAAAATTGCAAAGAAAGGGAAGAATTAGCATAGCCAAGAATCACCTTTCATTTAGCACATGAGCTCTCCTCTGCGTTCTGGACAGGGCTTTTAAAGATATGTAGGTGCCTGGTTCCTAATGCTACCTGCACAAACACTGACTGCATTTGTATAGGTAAATATCACAGGAACCAAGGAATGTGCCTGCTCTGTTCCTTGGTGCACTATCCATCTTTTGTACTTTCCATCCATGCGGGATTTCCTTCCTTGCAGGGAGGGCAATAACCCCGTTTCTCCAAGGTGTGAGTGATGAGGACCGGCCACAGCCCATGGCCCCAGGGAAGGTGACTCAGTGACAAGCACGGCTTGCTCTGCTGCAGCCGCCGGTCCTGATGCTCGGAGCGCGTTGCGGTCCGGGGATGTGCGGCATTGAGGCCATGCTCAGTGCGGGGGACAGGGGGATGGGAACTCATTAGCAGAGCAGCCTCTCTTTTAATTGAGAGGCAGGTGCTGCTTCTCCTCGGGCTCAAATATGGGCTTAGTGCCAGGGATGTTGTGGGGGGACCCTGAGAGGCAGGAGGGGAGCGTCGGGTCGGGGTTGATGTTGAAGATAGGGGCACTGTGGAGAGGAAAGTGCAATTGAGGTGCCCCGATGGGGCATGAGATGTTGCAAAACAGTAAAACTAGGGGGTGTTCTCTGGCTCTATCCCCCTGTGGGAACCCCCCAGGGAGGTCCTGTCCTTGGAGATTTCAAAGCCAGGCTGGACACGGTGCCCTGTGAGCCACACCGGTCCCTCACAGGGATGTGCAGGGACCGCTCTCTTACTCAGCTCTGATGCCCACATATTAAAATATGAATTATGCTGCCAAGAAACTACATTTCCCAGTTTCCCTTGCAATTCCCCGGGAATAAGCAATTGGAAGATTTAAATAGACCAGGCCAGAAGCAACCAACCTTTGGCACGGAGCATTTCCCTCCTCTTCTTCCAATCTATTGGCTGTTTAACCTTTCTGCCTGGCACTGGAGTGGCTGCCAAGCCTGGCATTAATTTTCCTCCTAAGCTCTCTAGGCCCATGAAGTAAACAGCCATGTGCATTCCTTACTCTATATTTAACAGCTGCGGACGGTGCTGGGGGCAACTGCGCCGGAGGGGAACCCTTGTCGCTTCCCAAATCCATAGCCCTTGAGGGTGGGAGGGGGGGACGCTGCGCGCACGCAGGCGAGGCCTTTGGGAGGCGGCTTCCACGGAGCGAGCGGCCGCGATGCCGGCGTCCCAGGTGCGCTCCCGGGCCCGGGACAGGAGCAACGTCCTCAACAGGGCCGAGTTCCTCTCCCTCAACCAGCCCTTGAAAGGCAACCAGGAGAGCAGGAGCTCCCTCAGGAAGCAGAGCAGCCAGGCCGGCGCGGCCGGCGCTCCGAGCGGCAATCCCAAGGAGCGCAGGCAATCCCAGCAGCTGCCCGAGGAGGACTGCATGCAGCTCAACCCGTCCTTCAAGGGAATCGCCTTCAACTCCCTGCTGGCCATCGATATCTGCATGTCCAAGAGGCTCGGCGTGTGTGCCAGCACGGCCTCGTCCTGGGGCGGTGCGCGCTCCATGATCAACCTCCTGGGGATAACGGGCCACGGCATCCCCTGGGTGGCCGGCACGCTTATCTGCCTGGTGAAGAGCAGCACGCTGGCCGGCCAGGAGGTCCTCATGAACCTGCTGCTAGGTGAGTGGCAAACGCGGCCGCGCAAGCCCAGCCCCGCTCACAGGGGCTGCCAGCCTTGTGACTGTCCCTCCTGTGGCTATTCCCGGCCACAGGATGCGGTCAGCAAGCAGGACCTGGTGGTGAGTGACCTTTGGGGAGGAATGGGAGCGACCTTTGGCTGCAGTTGGCCGTCGTGGCAGGTTACGGTGGGTCCCGAGTCCTGTCAGTGATGGATGTGGCAAGGAGCTAAGAGAGATGGAGGAATTCAAGTCCCGAGTCCTGTAGGTGATGGATGTGGCAAGGAGCTAGGAGGGATAGAGGAATCCTGGTGCCCAGTCACCTCTGCGGGGTAGGGGCTGGTCCCTGGTCCCCCCGGCCTGTGCAGGGCAGAGCTATAACACCAGGAAGGTGCCTGGGACATGTAGGCAGGGATCTGCAGCAATGTCTTTTATTGAATCTATGGTTATCTGCTCCGGGAGCCTGGCCAGGTAACCCCCTGCAGGGGTTATGCTTGCAAGGTGAACCAGGACCTGAAGTTATCTTTGGGGGAAAAAAAAACAAAGCATATAAAGCATATATATGTATGTACATATATATATATACTCTCTTGAACAAGCATGAGCTTAGCAACCTCATAATGGAGTCCTGCCTCCTTCCCTGCTGCTGTCTGATCTTGCTTTTTTCTTCCCCTGAGGACCTTTCTTGCTGCTGTCCTCATTTCCTTGTGCTAATTTGACCCAGAGGCCTGAAGACAGGATCTGATCTCTGCTGGTCCTTTTTTATTTTTATTATTTTTTCCTTTATTTTTTTTTTTTGCAGTGGTCAGTATTCTTGTTTCCGCAGGCTAGGGCTTGTTAAAGGAGTTGTTTCCGCAGGGCTCATCCCAGCAGTGTGTCCCACTAGTGACCAGGCTGAGCCCTAGAGGGGACTTGCCTTAGAGCCAGGCCCCATTCCACCCTTGGCCATGCATGTTGGAGGACCTTGCGCTTCTCTCTCCTCTTCCCTTGTCTTGTGGCCTCGTTATCACCTCTTGCTTGGTGACTGGTTTTTAGCTCATTTGGCTGTGGTCAGCCTTCATGCTTCGCCCTCTCTCAAAAAAAAACAACCGCAGTCACAACTTGGGGTTGGTGAGAACATTCAGTTTGGGACTTTCCTTCTCAGCAAGCCTTTTGTGTGGGATATAGAGATTTTTTTTTATTTCCTGTAGACACTCAGGAAGGGAGTATGTTGGGACTTTCCTTCTCAGCAAGCCTTTTATGTGGGATACAGAGATTTTTCTATTTCCTGTAGATACTCAGGAAGGGGATGGACTGTATGCAGGAGCTGACTGTAATGGGCTATGAGCTCTGCAGCATGGTCCCAGGTATTATTTTTTCAGTAGTTTATCCTTTGGAGAAGGTGAGGATTGCACTGAACTGGCTTTAAAAGCACCTCTGTAGCTGCCTTTTCTCCCCTGTGCCTTTGAGAGAGACTGTCCTCGTGCTGTGACATCTAATGAAGGGAGGCCATAGCGGGGAATAAGCAGGAATAGCACTGGCACGGTGCGGAGCGCTCTGACGTCAGGAGGAGCTCCTCCGCTGACTCCTCAGCGTGCTGGGTCAAACTCTTACTGAGAAAAGAAGCTCCATTTGAAAGGGCACAAGGGTGAAATAGTAGGTGACTAACACCAACCAGCACAGTTTCCAGATGCCTTCTGACCCTGAGATCCTTCGACAGTTCAGGAGTCTAAAAAATGGTCTTTCTGTCTGCAAAGTGTTTGAGATCCTATAAAAAGGGAGTGCCACTTTTGGCTTTAAAACAGACCAGGTTTTCTCGCTCTTCTGTTACCATGTGAGGCAGTCCAAGTCCAAAGCCAACTCCGGGTTGCACTGAAACTTTGAATATCATGTGGTCATTGGGAGAACTCAGCATTGCAGCTGCTAGCTGCTTTGGAAGAGTGGTACCTGCATCTCCAGGTCTCCTTAGCTCAAATGTGCTGCCCCCGGCACACATTGGCTTCTAAGTTTTGATCCTGCCTAAGCACACTGCTGCCTTTTCCCCACCTGTCGAAAATGGTTAAATTTACAAATGCCTAGTTCATAGTGGGATTAGATATGGCAGGCTCTAAGAGGAAGCCAGTTTGCCCTCCAACTAGAAAACAGTGACTGGTGGGACTCCCCAAGGTCTCCTGAGCTTCTCTGCGTGTCTTCTGTCACTCCACACAACAGTATCCCTGCAGGGATGTGTGGGGTTGGTTTTGATGCTTTGTGTCAAAGTATCTACTTCTTTAATACCTGTGATGCTCCTGGTCAATAGAGTTTGGCTTGGGCGTGTGAGGTGAGTGGACCTAGACGAATTTCATGCGACTTGTGGCCTCTGGGTGAATGAGAACAGCATGACCTGGCTGCTGAGTCTGTTGTGTCTGGCATCCTTGGTCACTCCTGTTGCCATCGTTTTCCTGTGGTTCAAATACAGCAAAATGTTGTGTAAAGCCCCTGTGTCTTTGGAAGGGGGCATCTCTGGGGTTTCCTTGGTCTTCTGGGAAGATGGAAGCCGGGAAGCGAGGTTGTCTACCATACCCTGTCTTTACCTCCCTTGGCTTTCCTCCCTTCCCCCTGCTTGCTCAGAGTTTGATACATCAAGCAGAATTTCTGATGCAGTCTCTGGGCAAGGAGCCAGCCCATCGCAAAGCGCTTGCTTAGGGTTTGCAGTCAAGCTTTCCAAGGCAAGGAGACAAGAGGCTGCCGAAATGGGCCTGGGAACCTGGCAAGAGCTCCACTGCAGATGGAGGGGGGCACTTGCTCTTGAGGAGCTCTTGGTAAGAAAGATCTGTGCCAAAACATATGGGGGCACTTCGGGTGAGGGGTTCTGACCTCTTCCCTGGGACACTCCATCCGTCCCAATTGCAGATGTTGATTAGCATCCCCAAGCAATGTTTTCCCTCCGTGTTTGTCATCTGTGATGGAATTTATTGATTCTCTTCATCATAATCTTTTCCGGCAAATGCCAAACACCCAGAGAAGCACAGTCACAGACTGTTATTGAAAAGATGGAAGAAATCAGATATCTGTGCCTACTATAAAAATCCCTCTGCCAGGATGCTTTCAGGAAGACTGTCTCAGTATAGCCAATTCTGGCTGCTAAAAACTCATGAAGAAAACCTGCTCTGTGCCAAATCAGAAAAAGTCATAGCCCAAGAAACCCCTCAATTTAAGTTCATTTGATTTGCCTTCTGGTGTTGGAACTTTTAAGAACATTCAAGCTTTTCTCTGCAATTATAAGGATTTCATTAAAAAATGAGGTGCTTGGAAAATCATCCAAACCTTGCAAATGGGCTTTCGGGGAAAAACAAATATTATGGAACTTGCAATAAAGTGGCCAGAGTCGCTCCAGAGAGCAGCTCCACTAAATCTTGAGATAAGCAGTGTCCTGGGTTCTGGTTCTGATCCATCTGGTGAGGATGTGGATCCAAATTTAGTGATTCATTGACTGCAAAGCCAGCAAAGAACATTTGGATCATTGATCTCACCCACGGCAAAATACAAGCTGTAGCACATCTCTTAATTTATTCCTGTTCCATTTGTTAAGGGAAAAGACCCAAACATCCAATCCGATATAAAATTTCAAGTGACAATGATGCTGTCAGAACTGTTTCTAAATTACTGCAGTGGTGGGTATCTTCTCAGCTGCCTTGCTTTTAGTTTGAATTTTCCCTTCCTTCCATTGCCTCTCCATACTTTCAGCTAAAGACCACTTTTATCCAATATATTTTCTGCCTCTCGGTATTTTGCCTACTGACCAGGTTACCTCTTCACCTTCCGTTTGTTAAGCTAAACAGATTGATCTCATTAGACCAATGGTCTTTCCAGGTCCAGGCACTTTCTTAGCATGATGGGGATTGAATATGTTGATCTACCCAAAGTGGCAGTTTTGATGCAGTCCCCCATTTATGTCTAGAGCCAAATCACTGATGCAGGGATCATTTGCTTAGTTAGCTGCAGTCCAGCTGCCTGAATTTGCTGTCGTAGAGTATCTGCCTGGCTAATGTTGGTGCATAAAGCGTACAGTTTGTGCTTGGTTTGCAATGCTGGGCGTTAAGGGTGTTTTACCTTCCTCATAGCATCCTTAAAGGTTGCCTGGAAGGTGATAGCTGTGGGTGTTGAAGCTAGAAGAAAAGGCTCTGGCTTTCCCTTTGCATGCTGCAGACCCTGGAACACCACAGGGCTGCACATTGCTCTGTCCGTTGTGTCCAGCTCTTGTCACGCTGACTCGAGTCCTTGTCCTCGTCCTCATCCATTACCAGCTGCCTTTGCATCCAGTCTCTGACTAGTAGGTTGGTTCTCTGGTGCTGTCACTACACATTTATCGCCATCATGTAAAGCAGTGCTGGGGGCTGTGGGTGCCTCATCCAGAGCTGTGGCAGGTTGCGTGGCACGAGGGGAGGGAAGGAGGGGAGGCCAGGGTCCCTTCCCCGCTCCTGAAGGTGGGTGAGAAGTCGTTTTTTGCTCTCTCCAGCCTTTTCTCTGAATACAGCCTCAGCTTTAGCCTGCTAGGAAAACAAGCTGTAATATTCTGAGGTATATTTCTCTGCAGATGTGTGAATTTATACTGACACACGCGTACCATGCGTACATGTATGCATGTGTATGTATATATATAGGGCCAGGATTCCATCACCTCCTCATGGCAGCCTCCAAGCAAGACTAGGCTAGCAGGAAAGTGGCAAACTGGGAAAGAGAGAGAAAGGTCTTCACAAGGTCCCATGAGGCCACACGTCCCCTTCTCTAACAGTGACATGGAGGTGCCCATGTATACTGGGATACGTTTTATTGGTGTGGTGAGAATTCAGAGAGTATTAGCCGTTGCTGTTAAAGGTCACTGAGTAGATTAAATGCCCAGGCAGTAGAGACAAGCTCCTCATGTTGAGCCCCCAGGCGCAGCAGCCCAGACCCAGCAGAGAGGATGGAGAGCTCTGCTGGCAGATGGATCAGTCCGTATGCAGCAGAGCTTGCTAAGCTGAGAGCCCCAGAGATGGTTTGGGGCCAGATGTATCTATTTTTTTCCCTCTTGTTTTCCCACTGTGAGACTGGAGATTTTCTGAGATAAACAGGGCAGATAATGTTGCAGCAGAGAAGGAAAGGACAGCTTGAGAGCTGGCTGCCTGCACGAATGTTCCTGGCTTTGGTGCCATTCCCAGACTTCTCCCCATCCCCTCTTTGGAAAGATCGGCATGTGGAGCCTCTCCCTGTCTGTGCTCCCCTTCCAGCCTCAGCAGTGGCCACAGGCATCTTGGCAACTTCGAGCACATCTGCGAGGTGGAAAAGTTAAATGATGTAACCCAGTGTTACTGACCCATGGAAGGTGCTCAGCACAGAGACCCGTCCCCTGCATCCAGCAGGGCACTGCTCCAGGCTGGCATTGATTATTCCTCTGCATCACCTCAGGCTGCAAATAAGCCTCTTGCAGTCCTGTGCGGATAGCGCAGCCAAAGCCCCTGCTCCTTCGGTGGGTGCCGTCCTCGCCCCTCATCTCCTTGTGGCCGGCGAGCTCCGGCGGCTCCGGTGGCTCCGCACTGCAAGCAGGGTCCGGCCCCGCCGCCTTCCCTGCGCCCTCCCTCCCTGCCTGCTTTCCTTGCAGCAACTGTGCAGCTCGCTGCAGGGCAGACGTGCGCGTCTGCAGTGTCCCCTCGCACAGAGGACAGCCAGTAAGAGGCTGGGACCCGTTTGGATATTCCTGGAGCCGGCACAGGGAATATTTCCAGCGAGCTGCGTAGGTCTTTGTCAAACCGCTGCTTGGGTCAGCTGCTTTCATGCAGGTGAGGGTCTAGGAGCTCGGCTGGCTGTTTGGTGCTAAGGATGGGGTGAGCCCTGTATCCATCAATTTGCTGTCTTTGGGGAAATAGCGTGAGGCTGAAAACCACCCCCCTGTGCAGAGCCAGCAGGCAAAATGTTCTGGAGCCTGTATGCAGAGCGAAAGAGCAAAGAAGTGTGAGGGTTGTTGAATAGGAAGAAGGGGAATAAACAAGGGAAATGAGTCATACTTGTGCCTGTCACTCCAGGAGCAGCCTCCCATTGCCCCCGGTGCAGAGCTCAAAAGCGGCAATCGCTGTTGCACTGATGCAGAGCCCGCCCTGCCAGCCAGGCTGCGGCCCAGAGGGAAACGCTTCCATGTGGATGAGTGTGTTTGCAGCTAATGCACCTTGGCAGGAGCAGGAGGTGGGAAGGAGGACGGTGCAGGAGTCGCAGGCAGCGAGGAAAGCAGCAGGGGCAGCAGGACCTGGGCACTGCCCTGGTCTGGGCCAGGCTTGGCCAGGCTGGTGCAGCTGGTGCTGGGAGGCACGATGGGGACAGCGGGGATCGTATGAGTTTTCTCTTCCTTCTTCCTCTGGAAGCTGTTTCTTTTCTGGTTCTTCATTTCCATGTATATAGGGGCACAGAGAGACCCAACTGATCAGCATCTTTGAAGCACTTTAAGACACGATGTTTGGAGACCCCATGGGCATCAGAGGAATCAGCCCTAAGTTTTTTTTTGCCCGTTTGCCTTATTGAAGGCAGAGGGTGTAAGTATAAGCAGGGCTGAACCCAAGGAAGGAGCCCAGCGTCTGTGGCCTGTGAGATGCCCAAGGCAGTCTGCACCCACACAGAAAGCCCCAACCTCCCCTTGCTCTTGGAGCCCTCCAGCTGTGGCCTCCATCAGGAGGGTGCTGACATGGGCTGCCAGGGACCACGAGGGTGCCACGGACTCATCACCTGGTGCCAGCATGGGGTGTGTTAATGCCCATTGTGACACGTGATTCACAATGGTTGTTTCATGTGTGTTTTTTCTTTCTTTAATGAGCTGCATGTTGCTAATTCCCACTATATTCCCTCCTTTCCATGACCACTTCTCCCAGCACCCTTCGCACCCAAAGCCTTTCCCCACTGCTCATTCAGCTGAAAAATAACCTCCTTCCAAGCCCTGCAGTGGCTGATTCCTTGGTTCTTAAGTATCTTGTGCCTTTTGTCACTTCTTGCACCTAATATTGCCACATTTTGAGAAGAAAATGGAGGAACTCGCTTGCAGAGGAGCAGAGCCCCTCCAGCTGCTGCCAGTGCTGCTGCAGAGGGTGAGGAGGCTTTGGAAACCTCTACCTCTCCTATGTGAACTAATCAAAACCACAAATGGCTCTTGCCCGATGTCTGTAGGAGGTTACGTTGGGGAAGTTCCTTGCAGAAGCTGTAGGATGCGCCACGTAAGTAAAATCTGCAGTTCAAAATGAAAAAAAACGTAGCTTTAGGTTTTCTGCGTCTGTCTGAGCTGCCCTGAAGGCCGGTCGCAGTGGGACGTGTCTTCTCAGGGGGCTCGTGCAGCCTCCAGCAGTGTGGGACCCTGCTCAGATGCGGCTTCTGCTGCATCGGGGGCAGGAGTTGGTGCCAGGGCTGCCTCTGCGTTGACGCGACGCCCGCGCGGGTGCGCGTGGAGCTGGATGCGCTCGGGACGCGTTTCGGGGAGGTGAAGCTCCCCTTCCCTCCCTGTCCCACTTGGGCAGCCGCGGCTCTGCTCGGCCTCGTGCCGGCTCCGCATCCGGAGCTCGCGGGCCTGACGCCGGGGGCTCCTCCGGGCGGTCCCATGTGCACCAAGCTGTGTGGATCACGGCTGCGGCGGCAGATGAAGCCCAAGGCTTTTTTGGCGTTCTCCCTTTTGTTTCCTCCCTTCCCTCCTCTCCCTGCTGCCAGCCCTGCGCCCAGGGCGTTCTCCAGCTGCAGATGCCTTGTTTATTCCGACATCCCAGCTGGGTTCTGCCTCGGCCCCTGGAGATGCCGTATAGCCCCAGCCGCAGCCAGGGCGATGCTCGCTGGGGCACATCCCTTGCAGTCCCAAATCCATGGACAGCGACAGCCATCCCTCCTTGGGCTCCAGGAAGGTCCCTGCGGTGACAGGGGACATCAGCTTTTCCGATGTCCCTTAGAAGAGGTTTTGACTTTCGGCTCAGTTGGGTGGCAGCAGCAGCAGCGCTTCAAATTTGCCCTTGTGCCCTGCCCGGAGAGGACTCGTCTGTCTGCTCTCAAGTCTTAATGTGCTCCCAAGATTTAGCAGTGGGAGCAAAGCACATAATTGTTTTCCTTTCCTTATTAATAGAAATAAAACGTCTGCCCAGGGGGCTTGCTTTCCGCTCGTTTGCTGTGCGCCTGATGCCAGATGTTGGCTATTTACAATACCAAGGTGATCTCTGATGCTAAAATTGTCACAGGCAGATGAAGCTTGCTCTTTGGTTTTGTGTTTTAAAGGAGCTTTAAATGTTAAAGCTCCCTTCTGCACTTGGAGGGTTTTGCACAATAAATTGGAAAGCTCGTTTTCCCTAATGGTGAGGTCGGGGGAAAACTCTGGATCTTTTTTTGGGGAAAAAAATGTGAAAGGAGCAATGGGGGAAGCATAATCCCTTCCATAAGGATGCATGAATATGCCCAGCTGAGGAGGGAGGATTTTGTTTGCATGGAGCTGAAACAACAGAGGGATAAAAAAACCCCAACCAGTTCAGCCGAAGTCCAAGCGGGAATATAGGTCAGGGAATTGCAAGGGAATAGGACCCGGGCCGTGAGTGACGGCACCATTTGTATCCATTTCTGCAGGACGGGCCGTTTGCTGACGCTGTCAGCACTGCGGCGATGCCGGGAGCTGATGCTCCCTGGCACGGCTGGACACGGCCGCGCGTCCCCGGGTCCTCCAAAGGCTCTGCTAGCCCAGGGTGGTGGATGGAGCAGCACGAGCAGCTGAAGCTCTTGCACCAATAAGTTGTTTTGGGGAGGGAAAGTGACAGAAAAAACACCCAACCAGGGATTTTTTTTTCTTTTAACAGCAAATTAACCCCTAGTCTTAACGCTGTCATGCCTTTGGATCTCGAAATGGGGACAAATGAGGCTTCCTCCTCTCTGTGCGCCATCTGACAAAAATTAAATCTAGCAGTAGTGCAGATCTGCTTTATTCATCTGCAGAATGAAAGGATCATGAAAACTGCTCTTTGCTGTGCTCCCCCATGGGAACACCTCTGTGTGTGCCTGCTCTGTCCATCCAGCTGCCCTCGCATCACCTAGGACCAAAAAAAAAAAAAAACATAAGCCAGGGAGTAGAATTGATGGTGAGTGAAGAGGAGGCTGATAAGGCCAGCGCTGATGGGTTTCACCCCAGCAGCCATTCAGGAAGAAAGGCTGTTTGCAGCTGAAACCTGCAGCTCAAGGGATGCTCCTTGTCCTGCCACGCATTGGTGGTTGCCCAGGCTGGGAGGTTTGCAGCCCACGGCCACGGCCACACAGGGGAGCGGGGCTGGCGGGGGGATTTGCAGAGCGCAGCTGGGGACAAGGCCACGGAGAAGCGAGAAGTGGCTGGAAACAAGAGTGAGAACTGGCTTGGTGCTCCCCATCGCTTCTGCAAAGGGAGAGAGGAAGAGAGTAGGGCGTCTGGAAGGACATCACCCACCCTCTGGTTCTCCATAGCGAGGTGCTGTTAGTAATGTAGACAGCTGTTTCTTAATTGTGTGAGGGTTAATTAGCATTTGTGTGCTGATTAGAGGATGATACGTGCTGAGTTCAACTGAACCATGCTCATGTGATTAGCATTGAACTAAAGGCTTCTGTTATAGGCAGCGACAACCTTCCTATGTTCTGCCCTAAAAACTGCCCTCTGCTCTGCTCCTCTCTCTGACCCCCCTTCTTTGCCTCTTGCCTTGTAGCCTTGCTGCTGGACATCATCATCGTGGCCGGCCTGCAGAAACTGGCCAAGAGGAAGGGCCCGTTTGACGTCAGCCCTGGCTTGTTGGACTACCTGACCATGGACACGTACGCCTTCCCAGCGGGGCACGCCAGCCGAGCGGCCATGCTCTCCAAGTTCTTCCTCAACCACCTGGTCTTGGCCATCCCCCTGCGGATCCTGCTGGTCCTTTGGGCCTTCTGTGTGGGCTTTTCCCGCGTCATGATCGGACGGCACCACATCACGGATGTCCTGTCGGGCTTTGTTTTTGGCTACTTACAGTTCAGGCTAGTGGAGTTGATATGGATGTCTTCCAACACGTGTCAGATGTTGATATCAATCTGGTGAACACGGGGGACTCGATGCCGTTCGACTGGAAACTAGCAGATACTTCAAGGGTCTCCCTCCCAGTATTTTTTACATGTTGTCTGTTGGAAAGAATTGTAAAATCCACAAGTAGTGGTGTTTTTTAATGTTGCTTCCCTGCCCGAAAGAAAAAAAAAAAATACTTGCAATTGGTTGGGTTTTAGCAATCAAGGGCCACAGCTGTGTTTTGGCCATATTATCAAGTAAATTAAGCTTCAGAGATGCAAGAAATGAGCTACACACCTGCCGTGTTTGGGTGCCTCATAACTGCACCTTGATATGTCCTCCCAAGGGGCTGCACCTGAGATCTTCCCGAGAAGACGTTTGTTAACTTCTTTGAGGCTACAAATTTTTGGCCACTGTGCTTTTTCTTATTGTAAGCCCAGAGTTGGTGCCCAAGGGCACTGCCGACATTTGACAGATAATAAAAAAAATCATAAAATTGCTGCCCTGTTTGGTTCTTCACCTGGACTTGGGGGGTTTTCCAATGGAAGCAACGGAAGTCCAAGGACTTGTGGTATTTTAGTGGATGGCTGGGTGCTGGTCCTACAGGGACCAGAACTGCACTGACCCTTGAGAGAAGGGACAAGTGCCAGTTGAGTAAAGCTTCTAGATCCATGTTCAACTTTGAGCATGTGGTGCAGTTTTATTGGTCTTTGGAGGATTGATGCATTCACTTAAATTGTTTGCTTTAGAAGGGTGAATTTAGGACTTAGGTGGCATGCTGAATTTGGCCTTTCATCAGCTGTTCAAACTCATGCTCTATGCAGGTACATATTTGGGTTTTTTTTTTTTTTTTTGTCTAGTAGAAGGACAAATGCAAGTTCCCCTTTTCATCCTAGCAGGGGGTCACTGTAGAGACTCTGTGCTGAATCATGGCAATTCTGCAAGGCAGCTCTAGATAGAGAGCACAGAGTCTTTTTCCCCATCTTCAGGACCACGATTTTGTATTTATGCCAAATGATGCTCTAGATGGTAATTTCCAAGGTAAGTCTCTTCTCGCATTGACTGCTTTCCGGCACTGACAGCAAGTTGTTGGTGAGCAGGAGAGGTGGCAGGGAGCCAGGATTAGCTCTAGCCCTGTCCCTGCTCACTTGTCTGTGACCTTGTTACTGAGCAAACTACTGAATGCTTCTGTGTCTCGCCCTGCGTGAAATGAGGAGAGCTCCCTTGACCTTCCTGGGCCACAAGGCTGAGCAATTGAGGCTTGCAAACTGGTTTGGGATTGCTGCATGTGGAGTGCAGCACACAGACTGTTGCTCCATTTTTTGCCAGACCATCACCTTGAATCCTGGCTGCTTCTTATCTGCATAATGACCATTAGATAACAAACCATATGGCCCAAATCCCGTCTTTTGCACAGAGCCCTTGCAGTTTGGTGTGGTTTCCCTGTCTCTCTAGAAGACAGTCCTGGTGTTTGGTGCATGACGGACACTACCAGATTCAGCCCCTTCCCTGGCTGGATGCTTTTACAGATGTTCCAAAGGATCCTACCACTCCTGTCCTCCTGTTTGTCCCAAACTGAGCAAAACGTACCCATCCTGCAGGACTTGAGCAGCCAGATCCTGTGCTCTCATCCATCCCAGCATGTTCTTACCAGGACAGCCATTGAGAGGAGCATTAGCAAGCTATGAATAGTTGCTGTTCTTTGATAATTAATACGGAAAGAAGACAGATAGCAAATCTATCCTTGACGTGCATCTCCGGCTCGAGGGTCAGCACAGAGCCCCACGAGCTGGTGGCTTCCCGCACTGCCGGCTCCCAGCATGGAGCAGGGACACGCGGTGCCAGCACATGCTTAGAGCTCTCCCGTGGAGCTCCCGGGGTGGGTAGTTCCAAGGTCCCTTTGGAAAGGGCTGTGACTGAGCGTGTTCAGCAAAGGGGAGAGCCTCTGGGTCTCGCTGCTTTTCTCCGGAGGCTGCCGCATCCGTGTAGCAGATGGCAGAGCACGGGGGGCTGGTGGAGCCGTGCGGCTCCCCTGCTGCGGCTTGCTTAAGTGGGGAGCAGGGAACAAACCCCCCAGGAAATGAACTTCAACGGGAGCTGCTTCTGCCCCCGGCTTCCATTAGGAATTCTCTCTACAAGCCTCCTTCCCCCATGAAGACTTATGCAAGAAGTGACCTACTGCTCTTCCTTTTCCTTCAAGGCATGACTGCACTCGGGGAGTTGATCCCCATGCCGGGAAGGATGGGATGCATTGCGGTGGTGTGCACGGATACGCGTGTAGCTGGAGCGGGTGGGTGCCTGCAGAGAGATGGGTCTCCCTGGGTTTCTCAGTGGGAAGCTGTCACTTTGCAGGCATTTACTGCAAAACTCGGGCTTTCCTTGGCAAATAGGCTGCATTCACCCAGAGGCAAACGCGTGCATCACATTCTCATCCACCTTTAGCAGGTCTGTATCCTGGTTATCCAGGTGCATTGCCAATGGCTTTGGTGGAGTTTCTCCTGGTCCTTGCTGGTGGGAACGGTGTGTGGCTGCACATAGGAGGGCAGGGAGAGGAAGGGCCCAGGGACACACTCATTTTGCTGCCATCGAAGCCAGTTTCCAACAGCCCGGAGCATGGGAAGGCCTCTGTCTCTATAGCAACAGTTGGGGATGGGAATGGTGGTACCCGGACAGTTTTGGGGCAGAGCTTGGCAGGGCCATGGGGTGACATTGCTCTTCTTCCAGTGACAACAGTGCAGGGAGGGACCCATGCTCCAGCACTGCGGTCCCACAGCTACGTTCAGCCCTGGGGATGGAGGCAAGGAGGATCCAGGAACATGAGGAAAAACAAAACCTCCCTGGCTTTGGGGTTTCCGGCTGGGCAGATGCCACCTTCTTCCTAGCTGGTAATTCCTGAGTGTCCCTAAAAGCCTCACCACCAGCCCCTCGAAGGGCCCTGGAGGTGGCAGTAGTCGCAGAGAGGTGGTCCTCGGCCTGGGCTCCAGGATGCTCAGCACCACGATGGGGCACCCGGAGCTTTCACAGGTCACAGCAGAGGGAGGCAAAAGGCCAAGTGGCTCCAGCTCCCTCGGGTCCAGGGGCTGCCCAGCACTGTGGATGTTTCCCCCAAACCTTCAGCCCCTGAATGTGACTCTGGACCAAATGCCCGGGTTGCTCAGCATCCCATGTGCCCTCCAGCACCCTCCTGCCCTGGCCCTGATGCCGATTACATGGGACAGCGAAAGGGAGGGTTTAATTCATTAAAGAAATGAAGGGTGCCAGGGAAGTAGCAAATCTGGATTATATCAGTGGGCATTTGTGGGAATTGCCGACAGGATGTTTAGCTCCTCCCTCCCTGCTCTAAGCTGGTGTTTTATTTGAACAAGCTGCTTCGCGTGTCTGCAGCCTTGGCAGTATCTGGGGCTGCGGGGAAGCGAAGGTGGCACAAATCCCTTCCCGCAGCCCAGCCTCGGTTGGGGGGTTAGGAAGGCTCTTATGCCAGATCTCCCCATGGTGGCATGGCCATGGTGTTGGTCCACGTGGCAGGGAGTCGATTGCACCACTTCCCACTAAGTTTGCGTGTTAAGATGATAAGCAACCACATCAACCGCCAGGTTAGAAGTTGAATTTATTAGGCAAAGCCTAAGGAAATAGGCTGGTTCCTTCTGATGCCCTGCAGCTGAAGTGGGAGGTAAGCGACTCTGTGTAACCCTCCCCATCCGTTTGGCCT